CGTTTCGCCGTCTAAGTTGGCTGTTTCCACGTATGCCATTCCTTGGGGTTCACTAAAAATCCGACCATAATTGTCAAACGCGATCAATTGAGCAAAGCGAATTATCATCCCGCAGTATCATTTCGCTGTTCATGATCACTGCTTGATTTTCAGCACATAAACAGTACTAAGAAAATACTTAAGGCTCCCACACGACTTTAAGCCATTTGCCGCTAAATCTATTTAAGCTGCGGCGTGAAAAGTTGAGAGCGCCAACTGTTGCTCATACTTTTCGAAAACCGTTCCCCATTTTATTACAGTTTCATTTCAATTAATGTTAAGCAATGTGACATAGTATAATCATTGACATCCCGGTGAGACATACTGAGAAAACCACATTCACTCAAACTCTGCCATAAGTCCAGCAATATACCTCTCACAGGATTCTACATATTTTCCTCAGATTTTCTTACATTAATTCATTACATGCCTCTACACACTGTATCGCTTTCGGAAAGCGAAGAAGAAAGAACATCCACAGCATCCTACGAGCAAAACACTTGCAAACGAACAAGTAATGACTCATGTGTACGAACTGAAGCAGTGATCACCACAACGGCTGCATGTCAACGGTAGATAACCCGACAGCAACTGGTCGACGTGTAAAATGGCTAGTTATTCAAGTGCATGTAAATAAGTTAGCTAAGATATAGTTAGAAACAAGGCTCATATTCCAGTGGTGATCAAATCATGTTACCCAAATACAATGCACTGAATCCAATACATGCCATCATATGTAGGCATATTCGTATGACGCAGTCACAGACAAAAGACGAATACGCCAAAGGGTAGTATCGATAATTTCCCATGAATGTGCCACCAATATGACTGACGATGATACCAAAGCAGTCGAAAAATGATCGTGGTTATTCAAGGGGAACACTGGTTCAAGGCACTACACCTTGATATTTAAACGACTCATCATGCAGTAGACCTTTGATGCTACCGCTTCACACGCTATTTTTCGGTATGATATTCAGTACATTTTCATGTTGACACTGTTTGCCAATTTTTCTTTGTTTCTTCCTTCGTTATCACTCTTCAGAGAACGTATAATCCCACGCTATTTCTCTCATTATAATTACTGGTTTTATAACTTATAACAGGCAACTTCACAATCATATGTCAAATCGTAGATTTTTCAACCTAGCTGATGACCTCGTCGTACGGTCTTGTTGGTAGGATTTGATCAGTATGATTTTTTTCTGGATGTCCGATTATATAATTTATTTAATAGAAGAAAGATAGCCTTGATGTTCAAAGATAGCTACCACATTGTAGCTTTGCAGTCCCCCCGGTAATCACCATATTTCAATTTCTGATACCAGGTTGACTCGATGCAAGCGATTACTTCTTGTTTCAAGTCGCCCAGGAGTGGACACCATTTAAGCAGGTCAAGTTTCCATGATATTTGAGTACCTGCAGTGCACTGGATGAAACAGTGCATCAATGAGTTGGTTTGAAAAAATGCACGTTAGAGCACCAACTAAATCTGCGAATACCAGTGCAGAAACATCAATATAAAAAATAGCCTGATGTTCTGGGGAGGCTTCCACATTGTAGCTTTCAGACTTTGCCGGTCATCATAACACTATAGTTTCTGATACCAGATTGACTCAGCATAAGCGCTCCGCCCAGTTACTCCTGCTAAAACGGTTTCCATAGGAGATAAGAGAAAAGGGGAAAATGCGCCAATGCCGAGTCAGTTCGGTATTAGAAATTGAAATATTATAATTTAGTTAAGATTCCTTTATATAAAATTTGTATCTTTGAAAGAAAAGAATTCAAAAGCTGTTCAAATTAAAAAGCTCAATCAGCCACATTAGTGATATACTACTACCAAACCTACCAAAAAATTTTATACAAAATCATCACATATTTACCTTGAAGAGAGGAGCACCAAATCGGCTGGAAAAAAGTGATTTTCTGTTACTCTGACAATATCGCCAACTTTCACCTAAGGTATAATAAACTATTAAAACAAAATTGGCAACAAATTTATTCTAGTGTATACGTCCAGAACAGCGATCAAGGCGTCACAGCACAGAAATGCTAAAACTATGCCAAGAACCTAAGAAACCCATTGAAAGAAACCCTGCAATATAGCAATAATGCAGAACAATGTCCACATCAGTAGCTAGCTACAATGAATAATTATTCAGCTTTATAATCAATCATTAACTAACCCACTGATTCATGGGTGTGGCTAAGAAACTGTTAAATCTTTTTTGCAGCTGGTGCTGAAATTTATATTCCTATAGAAACATCAGCAATGCAGATTTATTCAATCAAAAAAAGTACGACTCAAGTAGGATTCATCCTAAATCTAAAATTCATACCTTTTCCCATGCTTCTTCGACCCAGTAACCGCATCGCAATACCACTGTTTTGCTGTGATTCACTTTACTGTCCGCTTTGCGACGTTTCTAAAAATCGATCGACTAATTTCAACAAAGTACAAATGTCACTCCTTGAGATATTTTGCATTTCGGTAAGTAAACTAACAGCAGCTGCTTACGAGGATCATTAGATAAGAAACATGAACAAAACAGCCTAACAATGGAATATATAGACAGTAATAAATTGAACTACTTTACGATGAGATGCAATAATTCTCTGGCAAGCAAAAACAGGAGACACATTAAAAGCTCTATTTCATTTTAATGCCAACGTTTGCGCCAAACAATATTGGCAATCATCAAAGTAAACAATAAACTGAATAGGAACAATTCGAATAAACAACGCCATGTTCACCAAACGGACAAATGTCAAGGCTATGACATTTTATGTAACTAATTAAACTCATCGCCCAGAGACGTCAAAAGGCACAACGCTACTGCTCTACATAATGTTTCCACTCTCATGGCGTGGTTAATCAGCACTTTGATCGATTGGCGTGACAGTGACATCGTCTACTCGGTGGTCATTTTCTAAGAAACTGACAGGCTGATTAATAAGGAATCCTTCATGTTCAGTAATCATTATTGTTAGGATTCTGAAGGTGAGTTCAATTAAAATCAGATCCGGCTATTGCATTTAATGAAGTAAGCAACATTGCCAATCAGCATGCGAGGACAATAATCAGAATTTCCAAAGAATATTGGTCCCAACACAGGCCCACTAGAAAAAACAAACACATGGAATCCATAATTTTTCAAACAATCTGCGAATTTTTCACATAAGCCGGAATAAAAGATATCACGACAGAATTATTATGGTTTATTTCAGGCGCAGGGTCAACATGGGAAAAATTTCACTTTAAGTTACGTTAACACCTTGTACTGAGTTTCAGTTAGCTACCGGGTGAATGAAGACGAGTAGGAATACGCACACTTACCGTATATCCAGCATTTTTGGCACTATCAAATCAAAACACCATCCTCTATATATTATTTTCGAACTGACAACCTGTAGTACGCTAGTTTGATGAAAGAAGTTGAATAATAGTGGAATAATTAAATGTCCTAGGCAAGAAGTACCTTATTATATTAGCAAAATCTGAGCAGACGGCGCAAGAAAAAATATCTAAATGCCAACTAGAGCGCAATAACTTTCCATCGCGGCAACGACAATTTTTCAGGGTATGGTGGTAGAGTGACAAGAAGGTCGCCATCAAATTTTGGAGGTGCAGGGACAATCTTTGTCTTAATAGCGAATTCCTATGAGCAAGCAATTTAGTCCACGTTGCTTTGGTATAACCAGCCAAGAAATGGGTAGAAATCGCTGACTAGTGAACAACAGGGACAGCATACTATTCTGGCATGGTCATAACAGTAACAGACAACGAATAAGGTCATGTCGTTCATTGGGAGTGCTCCTTGTGGTTGTACGTTGACTTTACCCATCTGAGATCTGATAAGATGTTGTGATAATTAATACAAGGTGTAACCCAAATAATTAAATTGAAATTGTGGGGAAGCCGTAAAAATTAGGCAGAAATGAAATATCGAGGAAACGTGGCAGACTGCTGTGCTGTTGCACTGAGGTGAATTCATGCTGTTAGTTACCGTGTAAACTGAAATAAACTAACACTAAATTCAGACAACGCATAACACCTCCAAGACCAAATTTCGCAGCGTTTGGCACCGCCCCCTTGCTCCTACATTTCTATGGAGCCTAGGAGTGAGTTATTTAAGCAAGCCATGAAACCATGGTATTTGAGCACCTGCAGTGCTATATTAATCTCGTATTAATTTGTCCGGTACAGATAAGTGGTGCTCATGAAGAACATTACTTCAGAAGCTGACACCTTACACTTCTTTATACCGCTGGCTGGCGTGGTTCAACTCTTTGCAACGAAGCGATGAAGCCTTTCTGGTTCGTCAGCTACTGAAGAGGAATTCAGAAGATGAACAGCGAATGATCGGTGGCCAGCACTTCACATGGGAGAGGAAATTAAAAGGACATCTTTTACTGATGATGAATCTTTCTTTGGTCAATAAACTTAACAGCTTCTAAATGCGATAAGTACATAGGAGTGAACAACACAAGCTTTCTCAAACTGCCTGCGGGTTTAAAAGATTATGATGACAGTCATATTTAATATGCTACCGCATGAATATCGAAACATGTTCGTTCGTAAGAATATATCAAATAATGTATGACTCCTTTGAAGACCAGATTTTACGGCGTAATGCAGTAAATTCAGAGGGTTAATTTTGCGAAAGTAAAAGACTATTCGTTAATGGTATAAAATGGAGAAACGAACAACTTTAAAAAATACTTCAACAGGTGAACAACGGAACTAAAAAAGACTTATATTCGTCACAAGACAATTTCTTTCTTACCAACTTAGGACCGAAAATGCCATGTCGTTATTCACTTACTATTCGATACTGGCTTTTCATCGCATACTTTAACGTATTAATTGGTACATTTTGCCGGAACATTTGGCGGTGGTAAACTTTACAAACTAATTATAAACTCAAGATAAATTAATCAACGAAAAATTTCACCCTATGGCCAACGAAGTTTTGTTCGCCTGTTAATCGACCGATTTACTGGCAATTTATCTGTGAAATCGATCATTTTCATAAAAACAAGACACGTATGCTAATGCTTTCACGAAGCTGACTACAACCGCTGAATTCTTAATTAAAGCCTCGAACGTATGAGGCCTTGTTGACAGCACTGAAGAGCAAAATCAAAATGAGCTACGTGAGAGAAGATTTCGCAATTACGCAAAATTTAGTTCAAGAATTTCAAAATGTGAAGGAAAACCAAATATTACGAATTGTCTAAAGTTTTTAGACATACAGACATATGATTTACCAGTGCTTACAAGGATTGTCTCTCAGAGTCACGGTACTGCTGCTGAACATTCGACTCGATGGGACAAGGTACTCTGGGCTATGCTCTAATATGACTATGGCCAGCACAGAGAACAGTAAAGCTCATTACCTTCAGTTTCTCTAACCATTTATTCCATCAAATCGTGTAGGAAACAGTGTCAGACAATGTCTTCCAACATTTCCGATCCCCTGCCAGTGTCTGAGATTCTGCAGAACAAAACTTGATTCTGGAGCAGAGTCCTTCGTGTTACTTGTCTCAGTCATTTCTGGCCATCCTCATGATCTTCGGCCTGTCAGTCGAAGGTGAAGTTTATCGCCGTTGTCAATATACATCCTCTCGCTACGTTGTCTATACTAATCGTTGACCGCTGTGGAAAACATATTTAAGTTCTGTAAGACAGATCTTGGTCGAAAAGTTAGCTTGCCGCAAAATATTAGATTTGAAACTCATCACTTTTGATAATACTAAAAAAAGTGCATGATAGTTTTTCTCTTAAAGTAACCAAGTTGCGCTGTGGTACTATAGAACATCTAAATTATATCTTGAGGAGGTGCTAACTTTTGCTTGTCTTGGCCCTTTTTTATTGTAAAATAGTGTCGTGCAGAACCTTAGTAAAATTCTGAGATGTTTTTTTCTTGATTTTGTCAGCTCCCTCTGTCACACTCTGTCTTCTACAGTATTGCTCGTTTTGTCTGTGCACTTATGACCATTAGACGTTGTTTCTTGCTTTAGAATGCATAAAAGAACGTCTGCAACGGTTGGAATGCCGGTCTTTCTTACACTTTCATGATGGTAACATTTATTGGCCTTTCTTGTCAATGATATGGACTGCGCTGATATACATTTTCATTCCATCAGCCAGCAGTGGTTTCAAGGGCAGCATGGATATCAGCTATGTAGCGATCGTAGTGTGTCTTCTGTTTCCTTCCTACAAGATACAACTCACTTATTAACCTCGGAAGGCTGGAAAACAAGCGACCAGACCGAAATGGTTTAAGCAGTGCCAATTTATGTTCAACCGCTGAATTTCCCAATGGACGGTACTGAAAACTCGTCCTAGGCTGCTGGGTATAACTTTAGTAATACTGCAACTCCTTATCAGAAGCCCCTTTCGATTTTTAACTTACTTGGGGTTTCGACTTCACAATATCGCATATCATGGCGATGAGGTCTCTATGTTTTTTCGACTCACTGGTTCCTCAAGGAATCCGGATGTAGATTGAGTCGAAAGTCTTCTCAAAATCGATGAGAGGAAGCTAATATTTACTGGCTTTGTCTGATATATTTGTTGTACGACCTGAAGATGATTCATCCTCCTAAATCCAGTAGAGACGCGCACATACGCCTTAATAATGTTGACATCGAACGGCTGTTCTTCATTACACTTTTCTTTACGAATTACTTTTCCTTTGCTGGCTGAGTGAGTTTTGTTGGCTAATATGAACTGCCTTCCAGAAATTTTTCAGCAATCGCAAGTCGTATTTTAGCAGAGACATGGCTTTAGCAGATTGCCACCGTTTCTCTCTTGGCCTACGATTGAAGGGCATATTTGAGAATTCTGCAGAGTTTGTCAAATCTAACCCATAAAATCATGCATAAAACACTGACGAATCATAAACATATCCGTGTTTGGAAAACTGGTGGGATCATCAAACAAAGCTAAATCACAAATGAGCTGGCTCGTCCAATTATTCGGCTGAAGAGCAGTATGCCGGATGAAAAGAACCGGCCACGTTCCGCAGCAGAGTGACAAAATATGACATCCGCGGTAGGCGAATAGTAACTTATGGACATGAAACGTATCAGAGGTCTATCGCCAATTTAGCGGGAAGATGACACTGTA